GTGATCTCATCTGGTCCCAAAGCCTTAGCACCATTCCTGTGGGTTTCCATGAAAGTCTTATTGCAGCACTCTGGGCTTTACACTAGCTGCTTTCCCCTCTGAAACCTCATTCCATCCACTCTTCACAGTGACCCCTTCTCTCCTTTCAAAGCTCAGTTCGGAGTCAGATTCTCTGAGGCTTCTTCTACCTCCGTGAGCCATACTTCTTTCATACCCCTTAGCCCTGGTACTACCTATGCCTCATACCTGGTCAGGTCATGTTCCTGCTTCTCCAATTTTAGACTTACATTCTGCCTTTGAAGAGTTTGGGGTCTCCTAAATCCCCTCTCTTTAATGGATAACAAAGGAATTGAGAGCTTTGATGGTGATTCCTTTGGTATCCCCAATTTCAACAATAAGATGGTTAAAATGTGTGTGGTGGCCAGGTGTGGTGGCTCACACCTGTAATCCCAGCACTTTGGGAGACTGAGGTGGGCAGATCACAAGATCAGGAGATCAAGACCATCCTGGCCAACCTGATGAAACTCCGTCTCTACTAAAAGTACAAAAATTAGCTGGGCGTGGTGGTGCATGCCTGTAGTCCCAGCTACTTGGGAGGCTGAGGCAGGAGAATTACTTGAACCTGGGAGGTGGAGGTTGCAGTGAGCCAAAATTGCACCACTGCACTCCAGCCTGGAGACAGAGCAAGACTCCATCTCAAAAAGAAAGAAAGAAAAGAAAAGAAAAAGAAAGGAAGGAAAGAAAGAAAGAAAAGGAAGGAAGGAAGGCAGTAAGGAAAGTAGGAAGGAAAGAAAGAAAGAAAGAAGAAAGAAAAAGGAAAGAAAAAAGAAAGAAGAAAGAAAAAAGAAAGAAGGAAAGAAAGAAAGAAAAAGTATGTGTGTAAAACAGCAAGAAGTCTGGAGCTGTGGAAATAGCACAGGATTTATAGTCAAGACAGTCTATAAGCAGGCAGTCCTGGATTTAAGTCCTGGATCTGCACCCTTTCAGATCTCAGACATTCACCCATGGATCCCTATTTGACTCTTTTCTTTCCTTAAAAAGTTTGTATAGTGTGTTACACATTCACTTTCTATGACTTTTCACGCTTGTGAGTATGCAGTCATGGCAGTGTTATTTGTTTACACGGGGCACATTTGACAAACAGTACATTAAATAAGTACTTATAAGTACTGCTAAGTTGAGGTTCCTAATAGTGGTGGCTTTGGCTAAGAGAGAGCAAAGAGGGACAAAGAGAAAACCTCAGGCCTTGAACACATTTTCCCCCTTTTGGCTGAATGTGGTTCCCAGATCTGAGGTGGAGTAGAAGGAGGAAGTGTGGCTTGTTCCTTCCATCTGCCCTTCTGCCTGACCACACCTTCTGAAGTCCTACCCTGAGGTAACCGTTCAGTGCATGCCCATGGTGCTTACATCAGCCCTCCCTGCACAATGTAAAGATAAGAATGATAACAATGTTTTGTTTGTTTGTTTGTTTGTTTTGAGACAGGGTCTCTGTTGCACAGGCTGGAGTGCAGTGGTGCAATCTCGGCTCACATAACCTCCACCTCCTGGGTTAAAGTGATCTTCCCACCTCACTCTCCTGAGTAGCTGGTACTACAGGCACACACCAACACACCCAGCTAATATTTGTATGTTTTCTGAAGATGGGGTTTCGCCCTGTTGCCCAGGCTGATCTCAAACTCCTGGGGTCAAATGATCCACCCGCCTTATCCTCCCAAAGTGCTGGGATTATGAGCGTTAAGCCACTATGCCTAACCTATTTTTTTTTTAGCATGATGCTTTTAGACTTACTTAATGCATTTGGGGCAGGTTTAATGTATAAAAAGTGGGAAAAAGTAGAGGCCTGGGGAGATATCTAGTTGCACTTTCCGTAATATGAAACATGGCCCTCCGAATGTGCTGTCAACACATCTGTCCTTCTAAGTTTCCCTGCTTTGAGCCTCAGTTCAGTCACCACTTGCAAGAGGTTCCTTGATGGGAGGGCTATTTCTCCAGTTTGCTCATTGATGTCAGCCCTCCAAGTTGGGATATGATGGGCTGAGGAACTCCGAGCTTTAGACTAAGTGGTGGGACCAGCTGTTGATCAACTGTCCTCTGATGAAGCCCACATCAGTCACTTACCTTGAGCCCAGGAGGTCGAGGCTGCAGTGAGCCATGATCATACCACTGTACTGTGGCATGGGTGACAGAGTGAGACCCTGTCTCAAAATCAAACAAAAATTTGGGAATCCCAAGTCTGTTCTATTTTTTTAATAGTGGACACATTTTCAGAAGGGCATAAGGACTTTTCTGAGTCTAAAACCTTTCTGGACTTCATCTTCCTGTTTTATAAAATGAGAATAATTCTTCACCATGAGGTAATCATACCTCATTCAGGCATTTCACTAAATCAACCGGGTCACCTTTAAATTTTTTAGTATAAGTACCCCTGCTGGAAATCCAGACATTTCTTCTTGATCAGATATATTCTCCAGAGGTCAGGACTAATAATCCCCAATATGGTGATGGCATTGTTTTCTTCCTCTGCCCTGATGCCCCACCATGGGCTTCAGGGGCAAGCCTTTCCCTAATGATTCTTCCACTGGCAGTTCATCATTCCAGTGCATTGCTGTGGAAAGCTCTATATAAGTATTTGTTGCTTAAAAGTTTGATAATCCCTTGGCTGGGCACAGTGGCTTAGGCCTGTAATCCCAGCACTTTGGGAGGCCAAGGCAGGAGGATCACTTGTGCCTAGGAGTTTGAGACCAGCCTAGGCAACATAGTGAGACCCCTTTTCTGCAAAAAAGCTTTAAAAAAAATTAGCGGGGTGTGGTGGCAGGCATCTGTAGTCCCAGCCACTCAGGAGGCTGAGGTGAGAGGATCACTTGAGTGGAGGTCGAGGCTGCAGTGAGCCATGATCACACCACTGCACTCTGGTGCGGGTGACAGAGACCCTATCTCAAAAACAAACAAAAATATGGGAATCTCAAGTCTATTCTATTTTTGTAATAGTGGACACATTTCCAGAAAGGCATGAGGACTTTTCTGAATCTGAAAACCTAAAATTCTCTAATTGACAATTTTGAATATCTTTGGGAGGAAATGTACAATCCATGATCATACCAGAATATACTGAGAAAATAATTTATTAAATTGTAAATTGGGAAATTTTTTAATAAGTTTAGTAATAATGATTAATGAGATCGTGAATTTGTCCGTTGGAGATTTAAATTTTAATGAAGTTTTTTTAAAAAATCAAGAAATTCCCTTAAAAGGAAACATTAATCCTTTGCTCTAAACTTTCAGGCTAGATTATTTCTTTGGTTCAGGACTTAAACCTTTAAACTCTCCCTACTCCAGACTGAATCCAAGACAATCTGACTAATAGAGAAGCAGGAGTCTTAACAGATGTGTGTGAGATTTTCTAGCAAGAAATGAAGTAGGAGGCACAGAAATACTTGAGAAAAATCTGAGTTTCATTTTATCAGAAAAGCTCATTGCAGTATATATCAGGCTAGTACAATGGCTCTTCAAATCAATTCCATGAAAAAGGAAACAGGCCGGGCATGGTGGTTCACTCCTGTAATCCCAGCACTTTGGGAGGCTGAGGTGGGCGGATCACTTGAGGTCAGGAGTTGGAGACCAGCCTGGCCAACATGGAGATACCTCGTCTCTACTAAAAATATAAAATTAGCTGGGTGTGGTGGCACATGCCTATAATCCCAGCTACTTGGGAGGTCGAGACACGAGAATCCCTTGAACCAGGGAGGTGGAGGTTGCAGTGAGCCGAGATTGTGCCAGCCTGGCCAACAAGAGCAAAACTCTGTCTCAAAAAAAAAAAAAAAAGGAAAGAAAAAAGAAAAGAAAATGAAAACAAATGACCTCGACTGGAACACAAGCAAAATATAAATATATGTGCATATGTACATGTTGCCTCCTAACTTCCTTTACATTGATTTGGTTAACTTTAAATAATATGTAGGATTTCACAGCTTCTCTTAGAGAAGGGAATTGAATGTTAAGCTGTTCAGTCATTATAACTAGATCTCCCATTGTTATGGCTCATGCTTTTGTTACAAAATCAGTTAACCATTTTGCCAAATAAGTCTAGTTGTTACACTTTCATCGTGCAGGTAGAGCAGGAGAAAACAAGAGGTTACTTGATGGGAGGGCTATTTCTCCAGTCTACTCCTTGATGTCAGCCCTCCAAGTTGGGTTTTGATGGACTGAGGAATCCTGAGTCTAGCTAAGTGGTGGGACCAGCTGATGACCAATCGTCCTCTGATGAGGCCCACATCCTGGGAACGGAACTCCTTGCAAGCCTCTTCAGTCCACTGCAGGCCTTTGCCTTCTCTGACACCATCCACATCTCCTTGCCAAGGATTTGAAGATGCAAGTTGCAGAGTCTGGTAGACTGAATACCACTCAGGCAAAACAAGAAGCATCTTCTGTTCAAGTCCCTGCTGCTTGTCATTCATAAGTCAATGAGGCTGGAAATCACCCACACTTCCTCCCACTCAGTGCCTGGATCCATGATGTATTTAAGCACCAACCCCATGCCCTAAGTGCCCCAGGGTGGCTCTGCCCCACAGTGATGGCTCCTCTCTTTCACTCACTCTTTGCTGTTTCATGGCAAACTCATGTCGAGGTTTTGTTTTTACTTCACTCTGGGCACCTTGGCTCATTCAGATTCCTTGAGACTCTGATCACACACCACCATGATATCTACTGGGACACTCACCAATCTTTCACACAGAAGCCAAACAACATCCTGATGAGAAAAGGATGGACTACAGATGGCCTGAAGCAATCTGCTGTTGAAACCTTTTGAGGATTGCCAACGTAAATGGTGTCTTTACTGAGAGATCTCCTGCAAAGTAACTCCATGTTACTTTAGACCCACCAGAAATAGGCAGACATTGAACTCAAGGGACAGCCCGTTACAATCATATCTTGCTGCCAAACGCTTCCCTTAGCACCCTTTTCTCCAGCATGTTATCTGACATGTGTAGAGTGTTTCTGGCTTTATCTTTGCCTATGACAAGTTCTTTTTGGTTCAGTTGATAGTATTTCCCCCAAATCCAGAATAGATAAGAAATCACTAGGAATTTACATCTGATTACCCTAGATTCATTCTCCCACATTACAAGGCCCCACATTACAAGGAGGAATGGTATGTGTTTGCCATGTTGGTGCTTCATTAGTATTTTTTTTAAGTTGAAATTAAGTGTTACTTTTCTGAGGAAGTAGCCAGAATACTCCTCTTTCAAATTGATAAATCTACTGGCACAATTTGAAGTCAGACGTTATTTCTAACCAAATTATATTCTTTTGTCTGCCATGATAGCTTGACAGTTTTAATATCTGAAGGCAGGCCTATATGATAATCCCAGCAGTATTCTGGAGATAAGATTTTAGAGGGTTTGTTGAGAAGGAAATACTTGTTTAGGTGGCTTTCATCATGCCACTCGGCTTCTATGTCATTTTTCTTGTCCAGGAGGATTCCCTTAAAGCACTCCTGGGTGATGTTGAGAACCTGAATGGGTGTTCCTCCAAAAATGGCCGCGTGGTAATAAAAATCCCCCTGGCCAAATGGAATATATGCTGCCGACTCTCTCCGCCTCTCGTAGGTAAAGTCATCAGGATCTGCCTTGTACCACCAGGCCTGTAGCTGAGCCACTGACTGGCCCAGGGTCTCCACCCCAAAATGGTCTTGGAAGACCTGGTCCACATCCATGCAGAAGAGGAAGTCAACCTCGTGTTGGATGTGGGCCAAGATGTGCTCCCCAATGGTCTTCATACGCATCATGCTGATGTCTTGCCACCTCTTCTCTGGCTTGACCTCAAACACTTTGAAGGAACGCAGAGGACCCAGTTCTATAAATGGCACCTTGGAGACATCATCCACCATGACGTAAAATATGACTTTGTGGCCGACCATGAAGTACCTATTAGCAGATGTTACGAACTCCTCCAAGTAATGTTCAATATATCTGAAACGAAGAAGAAAAGTAAAACATTTAACATCTGGGATTCCTGAAAGAAACCACATGCTATTAGAATCATCTTGTCTATATTTTATGGTTAATAGGAGAATGATTTCTTCCCACCCTGGGTGTGTTTTCATGTCAGTGCAACACCCCTGGCTATTCTCCACCATTTAGTCACTCAGTCCTTGGGAAGCTGGAATGACTTATCTGACTGCCAATTTTGGAAAAGCAACTAGAACTAGACATGCACTACCTTGTCCTTCTTCTTCTCTGGCTCTTAGAAGCCAGCCAGTCCAAGAGAGCATGTGTTCTCAACTGCTCTGGGTTTTGCAGGAAGCTTACTGGTACAGGACCTATTCCCACATCCAGAGGCCTATAGGTGCCTGGATGCCTCAGTCTTTCTAACTCTGGGGGTTGAATATTTAGGAGACCCAGGGCCTGCAGATATAAGCCACATTCTCCAATATCAGCTTTAACTATAATGAAGGTGGTATTTACCACCCTCTGCCTATCTTACCCCTTTGTGTAATTTACCAATTGGTTCAGATTTTGGACAGTCAAAGGGAGTACTAGTTCTTGAGCTCCACTCAAAAGCCCTAACATAAGCCCCAGTGTTGTTACTGCCAGACCAGATACAAGAGTGATGTGACCCTTGGAACCACTGGGGATGCATTAAGCCCAAACAGCAGCACTCTCTTGTCCTCCTCTGTGATATGGAGAATGAGTTACAAGATCTAGGTCTGCTTTCATGTTACATAGTTATCCTATGAGCCTCCCACTAGTCACCTAAAACACCAATCCATTGTCCATACACCATCATTATAAAGTCCAGATACTAGAGTGAGCAACCTCTGATTTAACCTTATTTTAACCACTTTTTCTTTGTCTTAAAAAAAACAGGACGGTGTTAGCAGTAAGCCACATTTGGTGGTTGAGTAAAATAGATGAAAAAAGAAGATTAAAAAACTAAAAGAAATTAAAAAACAACAACAACAAGGAAATAAAGGACTGTGTTTTTTAGAGCAGTTTTAGGTTCATGACAAAATTGGGCCAGAAGTACACAGTTCCCACATACCTCCTGCTCTCACATTTGCACAGCCCCTTGCTACTACCAACATCCTTGTACCAGAGTGGTACATTTGTTACAATCGATGAAGCTACCCTGACATATCACTATCACCCAAAGTCCATAGTTTACATTAGCGTTCACTCTTGATGTGGGATATTCTAAGGGTTTAGACAAAAGTATAATGACATGTATCCATCATTATACTACTATACAAAATAGCATCACTGCCCTAAAAATTATCTGAGCTTTGCTTATTAATCCCTCGCTCCCTGAACACTCCCTCACAATCACTGACCTTTTTACTGTCTCCATAGTTTTATCTTTTCCAGAATGTCATAAAAGCACACAGCATGTAGCCTTTTCAGTGTGGCTTTTTTTTTAACTTAGTAACATGCATTTAAGGTTCTTTCGTGTCTTTTCATGACTTGATAGCTCATTTCTTTTTAGCATGGAATAATATTCCATTGTCTGGATGTGCCATAGTTCATTTTTCTATTCACCTACCAAAGGACATCTTGGTTGCATCCCAAGTTTTGGCAATTAGGAAATAAAGCTTCTATAAATATCTGTGTGCAGTTTTTGTGTAGACATAAGTTTTTAACTCATTTGGGTGAATACCAAGGAGCACGACTGCTGGATCGTATGGTAAGAGTATATTTAGTTTTGTAAGAAACTGCCAAATGGTCTTCCAAAGGGGCTGTACCATTTTGCATTCCTACCAGCGATGAGTAAGTGTTCCTGTTGCTCCGCATCCTTGCCAGCATTTGGGGTTGTCAGTGTTTTGAATTTTGGCCATTCTAGTAGGTATTCAGTGGTATTTTAACTATTTATTCATTTGAAAAACATTTTATTGGTGTCTTCTGTAAGCCCAAGCTATAGACTATCTTGTGAAGCCATGGTATGGAGATTACCAGGAAGAGGAAGAATAGACCAGATGGCTTAATACAACTTGACCAAACCCTAAACTCACGTGGACTGAATTTAATGTGCTGACCACACTACTGGCCAATCATGGTGTTTTGTGAGTAATAATGACTGGCACTTCTTTTCCCTTTTTGTTGCTGCTTGGATTTTGTTTCTTTGTTACCAAAATAAAGTGTGCTTTTAATGTTGGCACGTGGTAATCCAAGGTTTATAGTATTGATTCTTTAAATGAAGAGAATATATCTGAGGAATATAAAAAGGGACTTCAACATGACTCTGTGGCTAGCGGCCAGGAAATCCTTCAGTATTCTGGGACTTCAAGAAAAATCTATTGTGCCCTGAAGCTTGGGAAACAATACTGGGGTGGGGTGGGGTGGGATCCAGCGCAGGGGAGAGTCATTGTGAGGTTTCACATTGTTTAGTGATTAAAGCACTGCAGTTGGCTCCACACATTGTTGCTTGAAAACAAACCAAACATCACACCTCCTAAAAGTCCAAATCCACTTTAGAGATTTATTGCTGCTGAGTACAAACAGTCCTCTCTTGCCTCAGAGCTGAGGACAGAGTGCTTTCACCAGGATGTACACTTAAAGTTTAGTTCTGCAGGGTTGGAACTAGATGGCTGAAGCCACTGTGGGGCATTGGGGGATGTTCTGTTCTTTTTGGAAACACCAGGATCAAATCAATCTGCAATGTGGCTGGGTTTTGTGGCAAAGGATTAGGTAAGCTGAGCACTGGCTCCTGACTTATACTAGTACAGATTCTTATAGTAAACATGTCAAAACTCCATAGTTACCCTACTCTGTTAGAGACACGACATAGGTCCCTAGGATCAGCACATTCAGTGACATTAGAACGTGATTGGTATTTGTTAATGACAGAACAGTAATAGCTGCTGGGCTCTGGGTTGGGGAAGGTTATCTCTGGAGAACTATCAGATCTTTACAGAGCTCTGTTTTAAGCCCCACCTTGGCAAAGCTCAGATCAACTTGAGCCTTCAACTTCCATTATACAAGGCAAGGGAATCAACTTTCCATGAGGCTTCTTCAGAAGAGATACAGACAGAAAGCCCCAGAGGGCAAAAAAAAAAAAAAAAAAAATAGGAAAATTGGACTTTCAGTTTTATTTTGGAAAAAGAAACAAGGAAAATTCTCCAAAAAAGTAAAATGGATTATCTTTAACAACTAATATTAGAGCTAGAACTTTCAAGTAAGAATGATTGCAGTTTTTCTGCATCATATGTTCTGAACAAGGGAGCTGAAACTGGAACCTATCCAACCTTTGGAAGAGCAAGCTCTGACCAGCCAAATCTCCTGGGGCCAAATTCTCCATGAGGGAAAAAGTAGAAGTGATCTGAGGAACCCACGGAAGAGTGGTCAGCTGTGTTCCAGCATGGAAAACCACTGTGCGTAGGTCACTCTGCACCTAGAACTTGCTATGAATTTCTCTGTAGTTGGTCCTGGGCCATAGAGCACAGGAAAAAGAATAATGCCCTTTGAGCTGTCTAGCAGCTAGCACTTGTGAAATTTCTAAAGGAAGCCACGGTGGTCAGGGAGGAGGTGGTTGTGGGTATGCTGCTGACCCTGGGTTTGGTGGGTGGAGCAGACATTTTTTTCCTGCAACCCAAGGCCCTCATTTTGAGGTGGGAATGAATGGACTTACCTACTATTATTTTGTTCTCAGCATTTTAGGGCCTCAGCAGAAAGGGACTGAAACGGTCCCACGAAAACATTCTCCTATCTAATCAAAAACTCGTGGCTGGCCTCCATCAGTTCAGGAGTCCCCACACTAACATTTTGATAGTGGAACAAGAAAAAGTCTGGACAGTTTTATCAGTGACACCTACCTTCCAATAGCAAAAACCGTCAACCCCACGGTAATTTTCTGTTTGGCATAATAATTTTCTAGGATGGCTTTGTTGTAAGTGCCTTCCCACACAACCGGCGCCTTCCATTTGGTCACTGTCACAACCTCTGGGCGTTTCCTGGTGATAAAACATAAAGTCCCCTGAGTCAGGGCAGCTTTGCCATTGTTGGGCAGAGACTTTCCAAGGAAAAGGGGGGTCAGCTATGATCTGCAGGGACTGTCCTTGAATCCTGACTGTAGCTTAACCCCAAACACTTCGCTGGGAGGTGTGCCATTTGCAGGGGTAGCATCTTCTGGGTGAGGAAGAGGAGGCTTTGACTCAGGTGCCTTTGAGGGCTATTTTTTTTCCTTTTTCTTTTTTTTTTTTTTTTTTTTTTGAGACAGTCTCACTCTGTCACCCTGGCTGGAGTGCAGTGGCATGATCTTGGCTCACTGTGCAGCCTCCACCTCCTAGGTTCAGGTGATCTCCCACCTCAGCCTCCCAAGTAGCTGGGATTATAAGCATGTACCACCATGCTTGGCTAATTTTTGTATTTTTAGTAGAGATGGGGTTTCACCATGTTGGCCAGGCTGGTCTTGAACTCCTGACCTCAGGTGATCCACCCACCTCAGCTTCCCAAAGTGCCAGGATTACAGGTGTGAGCACTGTGTCCTCTGAAGGCTACTCTGGGGGGCCATTATGAGGCTCTTAACCTCTACATCTCATATTTTCTTTCCTCTTCTACTTTCTTTGTTCTCTTCCTAATTCTAAATCCCTTTCCCTACTTTCCCTACTTCCCCAGCCCCTTCCTAAACTACCAGTAGCACCCTAGGGTGTTATTTATCCCTGTGGATGTCATCTGAGCTTAAGGAGATCCTAAGCCGTGATACAGGCGGATGAGAGAGTGACATTAGATTTGAAAGAGAAAAGGCTGTTTCTGGCCTTTTGTCAGAAGGGATATCTGGGTGGGAACCTGGTTATTGGCCAAAAAGAGCCCCAGATTAAAGGGATTCTGATGTTACCGCTCACTTAATAAACAAGGGACAAAGGCGCCAGAAAGGAGGGGACTTCATAGAGGCCCACCAAGGCTAAGGCTGGAGCCCAGGGCTCTGGCAAGGACCTTCTTCTTAGACCAGGAGCCTCTTTTCTAGGAACACAAAAGGGGCGAGAGGGAGGGTGCTTTGCTGTGCTCAGAGAGCTTGAACTGGACTTGGTGAGACCAACACAAACACAGGAAGCAATGACAAAGCACAAAACTGCAAAGCCCTGAAGGTTAAATGCAGAAAGCACAGAGCAGCATGGGCCAGCGTGAGGGTGGAGCTCCAGGCAGGGGGAGGCTCTGACTCTTCATTGGCCTAGGAGGTGGGGGCATTCCCCCTTTGGAAGCATAGACTGGCACAGATCATTTAAATTCAAACCCCAGTATGGGCCTGGCACCCTGCTTGGCATTTTCTTGTACTTCACTGGGTTCACTGTGGGCGGCATCTTGATTCAACCCTGGGAAGGCATGTGACTGGGGCAAAGTCCTGGTGATCCCTGCTGGCTGCACTGGCTCTTGTAAGGCTGTCAGGGAGAGGTTAGCAAATACCTCGGGCCAGCAAGGCCCGTGGAGGGCTGGGTTTTCACAGAGCCGCCCTACCCATTAGCAAAGCTGGGTTTTCCCACAGCGAGGCTGATGAGCACAGCTGGGCCATCCCCTGCCTCACCCTAGCCTCAGAATGGAAAGGAGCCTCAGTAGACTCTTATCTCAGGCCTTCTGTCCCTTGTCCCCAAATAGTGCACTCTGTAGTTTTTGAGCTGACTCTGCCCTCCCACCCCAGCCCCAGGCATCACATCTAGTCTGCTTCCCAGGTTCTGTCACAGCGGGAACTGGCCTACTACCCCACAGCTGGAATTGCTCCAGGTTGGTCCAGATGGCAGACAGGGGAAACACTTTCAGGGTGCTCTCTTGGTTCACCTCATCTTGTCTGGAGTCTCAAACTCTAAGACTTAGCTCTGCCTTCAGCACCCCAGGTACGCCTGCTGCAGGGAAGACAGTTGCCCTTGGTTTCCTTCAGTCATGAAAGAAGCTACCATGCACTCTGCACCAACCTGTGCCAGGCACCCATCACGTACACTTTCTCATTTAGTTGCTGCAACAGCCCTGCAATGTATCATGTCCACGGTCCAGATAACAAAACCCAGTCTCAGAGCAGCTTATCTCGTCCAAGGCCAAACAGCTGGTCACTGATGATGGCAGCTAACACACACTGAGCAATTCCTGTGGGACCAGGCACCGTGCAAAGGGCTCACCCTTCTGAGGTAGGTGCTATTTTTATTCCCATTTTATCAGTGAAGAAGCTAGCACAGAGAAGTCAAGTAACTTGCCTGAGGTTGCACAGCTAGTGCTAGGTGAAAGCTGGGATTTAAACAAGATCATCTGACACTGGAGTCCATGCTCTGAGCTGAACCACCACCTATACTGTTTCTTATATGCCATTTCATCCCTCTGCTGATGAAGTTGGGGTTAAAACCCAGGTTTGTCCTGATCTAAATATAACACTATTTCCACTTAAAAAATAAGCCGGGCACAGTGGCTCACGTCTGTAATCCCAGCACGTTAGGAGGCCGAGGCAGGTAGATCACTTGAGGTCAGGAGTTCGAGAGCAGCCTAACCAACATGGTGAAACCCTGTCTCTACTAAAAAAATACAAAATTAGCCAGGCGTGATGGTACACACCTGTAATTCCAGCAACTTGGGAGGCTGAGGCAGGAGAATTGCTTGAACCGGGAGGCAGAGGTTGCAGTGAGCCAAGATCACACCATTGCACTCTAGCCAGGGCAACAACAGCAAAACTCCATCTCAATAAATAAATAAATAAAAAGGAATTCTTTTTATTTGCATTGGCATTTTCGTCAATTCGGACTGAGAAGTGATGAGGCTTTTGTTGTTGTTTTCACACAACAGCATCTGAGCAGGAAGGAAAGCATCTGAGCAGCTCTTTCCTGGTTCTTTTTCCTTTCTTTTTAGTACCCCATCTTTGTGATCTAGGACTTCTTCCAACCACACCATGTTGGAGCTTACATGGTGCTTTCAGTCCTGTAAAACGCTTAGCTTTGTTGAATGATGAGATTGCAAACCAAAAACCAATAAATAAATAAATAACCCATACAGCTATCTTATACTTCTGTAACTGTTTCTGAACTTAACACTCTCTTCTTCGTTGCACCTCATTCACTTAATCTTAGTTTTGGCCTGTCAAAGATCTTTTAGTAGTTCTAACCTAGCCCCCTAGCTAAGTCTTGTCACTGTGTATAAGCTGGACATTAGGTGATATTATTTTTTAAAAAAGGAAAAAGAGGAATAGGTATGGTTATTTAATACTTATGGTGCACCAGGAGCTAAGTGCTTAACTTTTATTCTCTCATTTAATCTTCACAACCACTCTATGAAGTGGGTGCCATCATCATTCCCATTTTGCAAATAAAGTGGAGGATAGGAAAGAGGAAGGGAATGGAGCCTGTTGCCATTTAATTTATATAAAGGACCCAACTGGGGTGGCTGATCCCTTGACGCACATTTTCCAGTTCCCTGGTCTATACCAGGTCATCCTGCTAAGCACCGAGATGGGAAAAATGAGACCCAGTCCTTCCCCTTGAGAAGCTCACAGTCCCAACAGCTGGTCCACCTGCTACACACTCCTCAACCACATGATCACTCGGTCCAGGTCTTCTACAAGAACTGAGTTAGAAAACCAGAGTCCAGCTTAAATTACTTGGCTTCCTTCAAGTAGGAAGAAAAAGTAGCAATATTAAAAATTAATGTTGAATTAAAAATTAAAGCATTCTATTTCCCAGCTGTTAATTATTTGATTCCACTGACAGTTCCAACATGTCAGTGACCCTGACTACAAAGCCACACAACAGCCTGAAAATGCAGGCAGCTGGGGAGGAGGGGGAGGAGGGAGAATGAGATCAAGATCTGCTTCCGGCATGAACCACTACATGGAGGAGTCTTAGTCATCAAAAACCACAAAACCCCCAAAAAAAGAAGTGATGGAGGGCAGCTCACGCATATGCAAAAGCTAGTCTTTGACAATGTCAACTGCCAGAGAAGTCCTAGATCACAAAGATGGGACACTAAAAGAAAGGAAAAAGTGCCAGGAAAGAGCTGCTCAGATGCTTTCCTTCCAAGTAGGGCATGCAATGATGTGATGCCAGTGTGTGCAGTTCCACAAAAGCTTCCCCCCAAATAAAAGGGCCCCCTAACCAAAGCACACACCTCCCTAGGTTATTGGCAGCTTTTAAATTTTATGTATTTATTTATGGTACATTTTGGTACCCAAGGGTTGGGTAGAGGAAGCATTAAAATTCTATGAATCATGCAGTAGGTTTAAAAAAGATGTGGAATACATATAACTCATTATTGTTATTATTATTTATTATTATTATTACTTGAGACAGGTTTCACCTTGTCACCCAGGCTGAGTGTAGTGGCATGATTACAGCTCTCTGCAGCTTCAACTTCCCAGGCTCAAGTGATCCTCCCACCTTAGCCTCCTGAGTAGCTGGGACTAAAGGCATGCACCATCACATCCAGCTAATTTTTGATTTTATTGTAGAGACAATTTTTGATTTTTTGTTTCACTAAGTTGCCTAGGCTATTCTTGACCTCCTGGACACAAGCGATCCTCCCACCTCAGACTCCCAAAGTGCTGGAATTACAGGCGTGAGCCACTGCGCCCAGCACAACTCATTATTGACTGAATTCCCTCTAAGCAACAGCAGGCTGCCTATACAAGGATGCAGAGAAAAGCTGACGGCAACATGAACAGGGATGGCAGAGTGGCTGTGGAATGGAGAGAAGGGGATGAAAGGGAAAGGATTTGAGGAGGAACTGACAGAACATACTAATGAATTAGACTGTGAGATAGATAGAGGAAAAGGTCTCCCACACTGTGTGGCTTGAGCTATTTAATGGGATGGAAAGTGAGGGGAACAAGGGTGGGGAGGAATTGAGAAATCCATTCTGGCCATGTGAGACATGCAGAGATGTCAGGCAGGCAGGTAGACACAAGTCACAGCTCAAAGGCAACATCTGGGCTAAAGATTTAAATGTGGAATGGTCTCTAATCTCACTAATGGTACCTAATGCCATGAAAATGGAGGAGAGCACTTTGGAAAATGGTGTATAAAGAACAGAGAAGAGGATACTGGACTTAGCCCCTATAAACTCTAATCCCTGGCAGCTGGGAAGAGGGAGCTGCCCCTACCAGAAAACAGTCACAAATGAGGATTTGGTGTCATGGAAGCAAAGCAACCTTGATAGGGAAATATGCACAATATATCATGGTTTTAGGTAGTTTATTAAAAAGAACACTTTTTTTTAAAGACAGAATTTTGCTTTGTTGCCCAGGCTGGAATGCAGTGGCTCAGCTCACTGCAACCTCTGCCTCCCGTGTTCAAGTAACTCTCGTGCCTCAGCCTCCTGAGTAGCTGGGATTACAGGTGCTTGCCACCACACCCAGCTGACTTGTTTTGTAGTAGAGACTTCACCACGCTGCTGAGGCTGGTCTTGAACTCCCGAGCTCAGGCAATCTGCCTGTCTCAGCCTCCCAAAGTGCTAGGATTACAGGCATGAGCCATTGCGCGCGGCCGAAAAGGATAAATGTATACAAAGTATACTTATTTGTTCATCCATTCCTTCATCCAATCATTCATTTATGCAAGAAATAGACTTAGGTACCCTGAGAAGGCTTACATTTGGTGCTACTTCAAACCAACATTCTTTAAATAATCTGCTTGTGCCCAGGCACGGTGACTCATGCCTTTAATCCTAGCACTTTGGGAGGCTAAGGCAGGGGATCTCTTGAGACCAAGAGTTCCAGACCAGCCTGGGCAACATGGCAAAACCCCATCTCTACAAAAAATACAAAAATTAACCAGGCGTGGTGGCACATGCCTGTGGTCCCTGCTGCTTGGGAGGCTGAGGCAAGAGGATTGCTTGAGCCTGGGAGGTGGGGGCTACAGTGAGACATGATCGTGCCACTGCACTCCAGTCTGGTTGGCAGAGTAGGACCCTGTCCCAGATAGATAGATAGATAGATAGATAGATAGATAGATAGATAGATAGATAGATAGATAAAAATAAATGTCTGCTCCCTATTCATTTGGAGGTAAAGCCATGCAAGGGGGAGAGTAGAGACAGTGAGAGCTGGTGACTGTAGTCTGTCCCTCCTCTCTACCCTCAATCATTCAGCCCCAGCCCTACCTCCCAAGTCCTGCTCAGCAAAGCACAAGTGCCACAGTAAAATTGCCCTATTCTTCTTAGAAGGGCCTTTGTCCATCTCTAGCCCATCTAGCCTGCTCCTTAGGGATTCTCATTCCCCAATCTAAGGGGCTTTATCAAAGCAACAGTGTTTCCATCTTCCCACATTTCTATTAGTGGTTTAGCATTTCAGAGATGCCTACCCTGTCATGTAGATCATCAAACAACATATGGGAAACCAAAATTCCCATCCCTCCACACTGGCATGGATCTCTTATCCCCAAACAATAAGAGAACTTGCTAGAACATAGTCTTCCCAGAGCCCAAGATCCTTCACAATGGGATAGATGCTATTTTCAGGCCAGGCATGGTGGCTCACACCTGTAATCCCAGCACTTTGGGAGGCCAAAGCAGAAGGACCACTTAAGCCTAGGAGTTCACGAGCAGCCTGGACAGCATAGTAAGACCCTGTCTCTACAAAAAAAATTAACAATTAGCTGGACGTGGTGGCACACACCAAGCCTCCTTACTCAGGAGGCTAAGGTAGGAGAATTGCTTGAGCCCAGGAGGTCAAGGCTGCAGTGAGCCATGACTGCATCACTACACTTCAGCCTGGGTAACAGAGCAAGACCCTGCCTCAAAATAAATAAAAATTAAAACCTTTTTTAAATGATGCCATTCTCTCCTGATTATTCTGATGATCATCTCCAGCACGTACCCTCTTCCAAGCTCAGGAGTACCCTGTGACTCTGTCTAGATGTCCCATAAGCACCTGCATCCACATGCATTCTTAATGGAGCTCCCCACCTCCCCCAGCTCCGAGGCCTGTGTTTCTTCCTTCAGTCCCCTTCCTGGCTAATGGCACCACTGCTCACCAGTCTCAGGTCTCAAAGTCACCCTGGACAGCTCCCATCTCCTCACACCCAGAACCACATCCTGCCAGTAGATCCTGCCTCCTATCAATCTGGCAAATACTGGTTTTACAGTGACAATCCCTATAAGACCGTGAACTTTTCAAATATAACCATGTTGATTGATTTCTCCTGTCTCTTCTGCCTATCACAATGCGCAGCACAGTGTTTTTGACCATAACTCACAGTGAGAAATATATTTTACATCACAATCAAATACGTGCACATACCCATTAGCCTAGTGTTAAATATCTAATATGCTAAGGCTCTTTCTCCCAAATAAGGAATGTTCTCAATGGCACTGTTGCCTCCACTGCCACACCACCTCCTGCAGGGCCACGGATTTGCTGCACAGTGAGTGACGCTGCTTTTCTTACTTTGGATTAAACCAGTCCCATAGCTGAAGCTCTGTTGTGTCATCTTCCTTTCTTTGCTCCTCCTCTCTTCCTTTTTCTTTGTCTATGTCTTCTTCCTCTTGTTGATAATTGTGGATCCTAAGTACAAAGGGAAGACAAACCCGGTAAGGCAGGAAGGTGACTATGGTGGCGGGAGAGCTGCTGAATATCTTGTGAAAATGTGTTCCAAGGCAGATTATGCAAGCACTAAGTGAATTGCCCAGAAAAAAACTCTAGACATTAGCATTTATTCATGAAGACATATTTTTGATGAAAAGATGCAGTACTCACCTCATTACCCTTCCAAGTCAGCACATTAGCAATTTAATGGCATAACAACCTTCAGGTTATTTCAGGGGGGTGAGGGAAACTTGATAAGACAATTCTTCTAGGAACATTTTAGTTTATAATTGTCTTTCCTGCAATCTAAGCTTTAGCCCAGGGCTGTGCATGGTGGCTTGCACCTGTAATCCCGGCAATTTGGGAGGCCGAGGCAGGTGGATCACCTGAGGTCAAGAGTTCGAGACCAGGCTGGCCAACACGGTGAAACCCCACCTCTACTAAAAATACAAAAATTAGCCAGATGTGGTGGCAGGTGCCTGTAATCCCAGCTTCTTGGGAGGCTGAGGCAGGAGGATCACTTGAATCCAGGAGGTGGAAGTTGTAGTGAGCTAAGACTGTGCCATTACACTGTAGCCTGGGCCACAAGAGTGAAACTCCATCTCAAAAAATTAAATAAAGAGCCCAAGCCTCAGCCCCCAAGTTAACTGAAAACAAAACAAAACAAAAAACGTATTTAGCTGGGTGTGGTAGCGCATACCTGTAGTCTAGCTACTTAGGAGGCTGATGTAGGAGGATCACTTGAGCCCAGAAGTTCGAAGCTACAGTGAGCTATGTTTGCCCCACTGTACTCTAGACTTTGTGACAGCAAGACCCTGTCTCAAGAACAAAATCAACCCTCAAATGTCCTAGTCTCACTCACAAAATATTCTTCAAATAATTTCAATACGCAAGAAAGATGAGTGGCTGAGAAGGTCATGAACATGAAACCATTGTGTGTGGACCCTCTATAAGCATCAGATGGGTGGGCAAACACTGATCGCTGTCTGATCACCTTACCCATTGTTAAACCAGCCAGGAAACCACCAGCCCTTCTGAGCGCTGTCATCAACTTCTGGGTTTCTAAGAAATGGAAAAGATTACAAGCATTTTTAGAAAATGTGGTAGTCCCCAAACTTGGGGCTTCCAAATTCTTTTTATAGCAGAGATTAGTTTTAAAAAGAAAACTGAAAACAGCCAATTTATTCAACAAACAGCAATGAGACACTCTAGCTGAATGAGAGAGAACAGACCTGAAGCTCTCTCAATCTCTCTTCCCTGGGCAGCCCCCAGCCCTCAGCTCATTCTGGGGGCCCTAGAGGAAGAGAAGGGAAAAGGGGGCTAGAGTGTATTAATGCATAAACCTGAGTCCTAGATCTGCCACTAACTAGCTGTATGACTGTGATACAACATTTTCCCTCTCTGAATTTTGACTTTCTCCTCCAAAAAGTATAGTTAATAATACTAATAACAGACCTACCATGAAGGTAATTTTGAAGACTGAATGAAATAGCATACAGGAAAGAGCTTTATGAGTTGAAAATGACTGTAACAAGTTATAGTCTTCATGAAAAACCAATGCATGTTTCCAAGAATCATCTCTTTAGCTAAAACCAGCAGAATTCAGATTGTTATAAAAGTCTAGAGAAAAATTCAGTTTGCCCAAAGGTTAGCAGTAACAGCCTCAGGAAATCTGGGGGTCCCTGAACAAGAGGTTCAGGAAACTACTTGAAAGCCACTGTAGCCATCCATTTGAGAAAGTTTCTACACTCTCATTCATTGTGAAAGTCTCTTCAAGGTCGGGGGCCTGACACAGTGGCTCAATCCTGTAATTACAGCACTTTGGGAGACTGAAGCGGGCCAATCACCTGAAGTCAGGAGTTCAAGACCAGCCTGGCCAACACAGCAAAACCCTGTCTCTACTAAGAAAATATTCACCACGCATGGTGGTGGGTGCCTGTAATCCCAGCTACTTGAGAGGCCGAGGTGGGAGGATTGCTTGAACTCAGGAGACGGAGGTTGCCATGAACCAAGATCATACTACTGCACTCCAGCCTGGGCAACACAGCAAGACTCCGTCTCAGAAAATTTTAAAAAATAAAATAAAAAGAAAAGAAAGCAAAGAAAAGGTAGGGGGCTTCTGGAGGATGGGGAAAGAGGAAAGCCAATGGATACAATGCCCTTCTGTTGGACAAATGAGGTGGTGAGGTAACTCATGAACAGGCATAATATTATGAAACCTGTTTTAAAGCCCATTAACTCTGGGAAGTGTATGAGATGGCTTCCAATATATAGGTACAGTAAACAGAAAAACAACACAAGATTAAAAAACACAAGAAAGAACAGAAAGAGATACGTTGATTTAGTCACCCAGGTATGTATTTTCACACGACCTCAGTCATCCCAAAGAAATGTTTCACCGTTACTTTCATTTCACAGCCAAGATACTGGCTGGGTGGATTTGAACAAATTTCCAAGGTCACATGGCATGTGGGCATAAAAGTCAGGATTTCATACCAGGGGATAAATGACATTGGAAATGAAGGCGGGGGCAAGTACAAGCAGTTAAGTGCAATACTTTGCTCTGAGCTTTTTGACAACCAAGCCAACAATAGGAAATATAAAGGTTTACGTGCTTCTCATTTTGTTTTCATAAAATAAGAAAAGAAAATTTTAAAGATACATACTGGTTTCTCAAGAGACTCAATTTTTTTCCCCCGATTCTTATTCTCAGAGCAATTTCTTGCATAGGTCTTTATATAACATTTAAAGGACAGAATAATAGACAGTATCTCCCTAGATACTTTTTATCAGCAAGACAGGAATGTTTTCAAATGACAGCACTGAAGAGAAGTCTGAGGAGAACTGATGGCAAGATACAAGCCATGGTTCTATATCGATAAGTCTAGGGTGGCTGCAGCAATAACATTCCAGATTCCCAGGAATCCACCCACCCCTCCGACTTGGCCGAGCACCATGGCTGGCTGCCGTGTGAAGAATGGACTGTAGAGGGTGCCAGAGTGACTGTGGGGTGGGAGACATCCACTAGAAATCTAGAATTCAGCGCACTTACTTTGAGTGATATATCCACAAGAAAGAGCCTTCTGGGCTACAAGCAAGAGAAATAAAAACATATCATGTTACTTTTAATTCTGAGAAAGGCTATTTTGTAAACATTATCACTGAGCCTGAGGCTGAGCTGAGAGCCTGGGTTTTAGCTGCTTCCAGGTTTCCTATCTTCCTTTGAGACATAACCAATGACATCAGGAGACTGGAAATTTCTACTTCAGGATCTCAAGGGGAAAGGGTTTTCTGGAAAATCTCAAATTGTCGGTGTTTGTGTGTGTGTATTATTGAGATGGGGTTTTATCATGTTGCCCAGGCTGGTCTCAAACTCAGGAGATCCACCCCAGTCAGCTTTTCAGCTTCCCAAAGTGCTGGGATTACAAATGTGAGCCGCCACGCCTGGCCTCAAATTCTCTTTTTTTGTTTTAAAAAGAGAAGACAGCTGTCTATTGCACAGATGGGTCCTCTCCTGCCACCTACTCAGGTGTCTGGTGATGACAAAGGCCCTAGAAGGTGGAAATGCCGTGGCCCAGACATCCTTCCCCCAGGATTTATCTTCCCCCAGAAAACAAAACATCAACTGTAGAGCCTAATGCCATGGCCAGCTCAGAGCCTTCTATAGGACAGCCCCAGAAAACATTTCTTTAACTAATGAAGGCAGTGAGACTCTTTTTTTTTTTTTTTTTTTTGAGACGGAGTTTCGCTCTTGTTGCCCAGGCTGGAGTGCAATGGCGCGATCTCGGCTCACCGCAACCTCCGCCTCCTGGGTTCAGGCAATTCTCCTGCCTCAGCCTCCTGAGTAGCTGGGATTACAGGCACGAGCCACCATGCCCAGCTGATTTTTTGTATTTTTAGTAGAGACGGGGTTTCACCATGTTGACCAGGATGGTCTCGATCTCTTGACCTCGTGATCCACCCACCTTGGCCTCCCAAAGTGCTGGGATTACAGGCGTGAGCCACCGCGCCCGGCTGCAGTGAGACTCTTAAAGCCCTTACAAGTCCTGCAGCCTGGCACTCAGGCCTCGGATTTACAGATTCAGGTTCACCAACTTTTCATATCTCTTCAACGACCCTTCTCCCTCAGAATCCTTCAACAACACAATGGTCACGGCAATATCCACATTGCAGTGGGTTTTAAATATGTATTCATCCTTCAGGCTCCACTCAAATGCCGCCTTTTCTGTGCCTTGCTTGATATGATCCTAGCACAGTGCCTAGTACATAGTGGGTAATAAATATTTATGAATGGATCCAAAGCAATGGATTCTCCTTCAAGCCAAACATAATTTTTGCCTCCCTGAGCTCTTTTTTTATTTTTTTGAGACGGAGCCTCACTCTGTTGCCCAGGCTGGCATTCAGTGGCACAATCTCAGCTCACTGCAACCTCTGCTTCCTGGGTTCAAGCAATTCTCCTGCCTCAGCCTCCGGAGTAGCTAGGGCTACAGGCTCACATCACCACACCTAATTTTTGTATTTTTAGTAGAGACAGGATTTCACCATGTTGGCGAGGCTGGTCTCAAACTCCTGACCTCAAGTGATCTGCCTGCCTCGGCCTCCCAAAGTGCTGAGATTCCATCTCAAAAAAAAAAAAAAAAAAAAAAAAAAATCGGAGGTAATGCATAGCAAAGGTCCTGGCACACGCAAGCATTCAATAACTAGTAGTTCCTATTGTGATTACTACCATCATGGTTATTTCATCATAATTTTGAAGGTTTCCTCTAATTTTAAAATTTGAAGGTTTTTCTTCATCTAGCCTCAAATCAAATGCTATCCTAGATGATATTCTTTCAATATGCTTTGATGACAATTCTATTTACTAATTGGTTGACATGTTTGAATGAGTTTTTAATCCTTTCCAGCTTAGTGCTGCCAACCTGTCTAAGGTTAGTGTCCTCAGCTCACCTCAAGCCATCATGTGGCAAATTCATAAAGTAGAAAAAAAAAAAAAAATCTCCCCTTGAAGTTTCTTGCAGATGTTCAAGTGATTCTGCATATCAGAGGATGTTGGGGCCAGAGTCCAGGTGCCAGATGATTGGCCTGAACAGCAGCCAGAACCTGCTCTGGCCACCGTGCAGGGAGAGTGTGTCCAGAACTGAAAGTAACCCTCTTTCTGAGAGGCGGCTGCAGACATGCAAGTTTGAGCCTTTGGCTCAGTTATGCACGTACAACTCTGGCTATGATTCCAAACACCAAAGTTATCTAATCAAGTGTTCAAGCTCAGAGCTTGAAGGTTATCCAAGCAGACATTCCGACTCCAGGCAGGAACCCCCAAAGGGCACTTGTTCTTCTGTTGGACTCTTCTAACTGCTAGAGCTCTTCTATTTGCCAAAATTCCCTATCTTGTTCTGCCCTCTGGAACAGATCATGATAAAGATGACTGTTATGGAGTGAATGTTGTATCTCCCCAAAATTCATATGTGGAGGCCCTAACCTTAGTGTGATGATATTTGGAGGCAGAGCTTGTGGGAGGTAATTAGGTTTAGATGAGGTCATGGGAATAGGACCCCCATGAAGGAATTAGTGTCCTTACAAGACGAGGAAGAGGCAGTAGCTTACTTGCACTCCATCTAGTGTGGGGGAGGTGGCCATCTGTCACACAGGAAGAGCGGTCACTGGGGATTTTGGACTTCCCATCCTCTAGAACTGAGAGACTTAAATTCCTGTTGCTTAAACCACCTTGTGGTATTTGGTTACAGTGGTCTAAATTAAAATGATGATGAGGAAGAAGAGCAGGAGGATGACAGCTAGCATTTCTTGAGTGTTTATTAAGCTCTAGGTATTGCTTTTAAGTGCTTTATACACAATAACTTATTTAATTCTCCCAACAACCCTATGAGGCAGGTAGTATTTATAATCCTTCCCTCAACTTTGTTTTTTTTTTTTTTGAGGCAATGTCCCACTCTGTCACCCAGGCTGGAGTGCAGTAGCAGGACTACAGCTTACTTCTCAACTTTGTTTTTTTTTTTTGAGGCAATGTCCCACTCTGTCACCCAGGCTGGAGTGCAGTAGCAGGACTATAGCTCACTTCAGCCTCAATCTCCCAGGCTCAAGTGATTCTCCCACCTCAGCCTCCTGAGTACTTGAGAATACAGGTGTCCCAGCACTTTGGGAGGCCAAGGAGGGTGGATCACCTGAGGTCAGGAGTTCAAAACTAGCCTGACCAACATGGTGAAACCCCGTCTCTACTAAAAATACAAAAATTAATTGGGTGTGGTGGTGCATACCTGTAATCCCAGCTACTCGGGAGGCTGAGGCAGGAGAATCGCTTGAACCCAGGAGGCGGAGGTTGCAGTGAGCCGAGATTGCACCATTGCACTCCAGCCTGGGCAACTGAGCGAAACTCCATCTCAAAAAAAATTAAATAAATAAAAATAAATAGATAAAATAAAGCTAGGGAAACTAAAGAACAGAGTGGCTAAGTAACTTGCCCAAGGAGCAGCCTAGCTCTCAAGTCGAAGTGGGAAACTTCCTTAGCCCTCAATTGCCTAAGGAAGCTCCAGGGTACCCACACCAAACTGAGTCATCTCTTCTTTGGACTCAATCCCCTCAGTTTTCTCAATTCAAAAGACCTAGTTTCCAGACCCTTTTAACTTGGTCACACTCTAGTTTGTCATGTTTTCATGTTTTTCTTAAAATGAGTTGTGCAGAATGAAACAAAGGAACATTCCAGAAGTGGTTACATCTGTGCAGCACCATAGGGACTAATGGCTCCAGCATTCTGGAGATTCCTTCTGCTACTGATGCACCTAAAGGCACGGTTCCATTTTTAGTAACCAAGTCAGTCCTCCTAGCTCATCAAATCTTAGAATGTAAATATCAAAAGAGATATTCGAATGCTAATCCAGGCTACCATCTTGAACTTGGGGGCCAATGAAACACTCTATGAAAATACTAATGGTACCAAAATAGCTCTGTACAACTCAGTTGTACAATAGACTTTTTGAACCTTAAGGCTGAGCTTTGCCAGTCTTTTGAGTCAAAGGCATCAGGCATTTCTGTGGCTGCTTGTGGAGACTTCTGTCAGAAGCCTCTCCAGCTGGAATCTCCAAGGCATTGTAGCTTCAAAAAGCACAGAGGTGGCTCATATATTTGGGGTGAATCCACAGATGAATTTGAAAACTTAGAAACGCTTAATTCATTTTGCTTTTCAAAGTTAAAAACACACACACACATTCAAAGGTTTTAGCCAGGCACAAATGAATCACCAGCAACTCAGTATGTATTTTGCAGCAAAAGTCAACAGCTTAAGTTGCTCCTTTAAACTCTGCAAATATTTTAGGATTTCAAAATTCAGGGTAGATTTCTCATGGAATTCCTGTCTGAAATTTCTTAAGGTAATTTCTGTATTTTTGATTATGTAAGTTATTTAAAATTACATTGGGTTTAATTTGATCTCATTTTCTCTGGATCTAGCCTACTATTACAAAAATTTTGATATTAGGAACAAGGCAAGAAAGAAGATAAGCAGTTAGCAAAAGTCACTTGAGAGAGCTAATGATCTTAAGGACAGTCCAGGGCTTAGGGATTTAGGAAGGGTAGAATTTCTTATTTATGGTTTTGGTTAATCCTAATTTCAATTCAACCTGGTGACTTGGATACTAGTGGGATAAAATCAAAGCAGTATTTTCACCCACATTATTTCATCATGTTTCATAATTACCTGTTGATATATTCCCAAAACACAACGATCACAGTTGAGACAACCAGCATTGACAGAATTACTTTTCCTTTGACATTCATTATTTTCTCCTAGGAAAAAAGGAGGGGGAAACAGATTAACTAAATGAACTTCAGAGAAGGATATGGTTTTTAAAAAATGCTTTTACCTAATTCTTTCTTTTTATTATTATTATACTTTAAGTTCTGGGATACATGTGCAGAATGTGCAGGTTTGTTACATAGGTATACACATGCCATGGTGGTGCACCCATCAACTTATCATCTACATTAGATATTTCTCCTAATGCTATCCCTCCCCTAGCCCTTCTGACAGGCCCCGGTGTGTGATGCTCCCTCCCTGTGTCCATGTGATCTCATTGTTCAACTTCCACTTATGGGTAGAATATGTGGTATTTGGCTTTCTGTTCCGGTGTTAGTTTGCTGAGAACGATGGTTTCTAGTTTCATCCACATCCCTGCAAAGGACATGAATTCATCCTTTTTTATGGCTGCATAGTATTCCATGGCATATATGTGCCACATTTTCTTTATCCAGTGTATCATTGATGAACATTTGGGTTGGTTCCAAGTCTTTGCTATTGTGAATAGTGCTGCAATAAACATATGTGTGCACGTTATTTGATAGTACAATGATTTATAATCCTTTGGTATATACCCAGTAATGGGATTGCTGGGTCAAATAGTATTTCTGGTTCTAGATCCTTGAGGAATCACCACACTGTCTTCCACAATGGTTGAAGTAATTTACACTCCCACCTAATTCTTTCTAAAAGGATACATTTAGGAAGAAATAACTAGAGCTGAGGAGTCTGTTCTACCTGAAATTGCATAGACCTGCAGTGGCAGATCAGGCCAATTTGATTAATAGAGGAGGCTGCCTGCATTGGGAAGGGTGCTAAGGCCACACTGGGGCTCAGAGGGAAGGTATCCCTACCTGCCATGGATGTAGGAGACAGTGGGAGTAGCCATACATGGTTCCCAGGGACTCCTGTAGCCTCCCAAGGCTGATCGCCCCACCTTTCGTCTCATGGTTGTGAGGAGCCATCCTATCCCCAAGCTCCATGCCCTTGGCATACTGATAAAACATTCTCTTGCTCAGAGGGGAAAATGACCCTGAGTTTATAAACTAGGCCTCACCCACTTCCCAGCTACCCCCAGCATAGCCCCATCACACTCACAGGCAAGCAAAAAATTGGTGCACAGCAGGTGCATAGACATTTCCTGATCACTGCATGAAATTGCTTAAAAAAGCAGGGGTGCTGTGTGAAGAACAACAGGCTGGGAGTACGTTAATGTGGGGTGATCAGGGAAGGCTCACTGTGGAGGTTAAAAGTAAAGCCAAGTCCCAAGGGATAAAGATGGATGGAAAAGGATGAAAAGCACCACAAGAAGGAAGAGACTATTTTGGGAGCAGCATCTGTAACAGGCTGATGGGAGAAAAAACTTGTACTTAAACAGACAGCATTAAAGAAGAAAAATACTCTCACCTCAGCATGGCTGGATCAAAGAAGGAGTGCTAGTTGGCAACAGGATGGTGGACAGGGCAAATAGACCATGAAAGGCATGGGCAGGAGGGGAGGGAGCCACAAGCACCTCAGAAGCCAGGGAATAACTGGATCCAATTTCATGCAGAGATGCCTGCCCGTATGCCGGGGTGTGGAGGGTAGATCAGAGCTGACAGCAGAGTGGAGAGTGAGGTGGCAGACGATTCTGATGGCCAAAACGAAAGGGTGACTGTATTGCATACGTGTTTTTTATCGGCTATACATTATGATGTTTTCACATCTTCAAAAACCTTTCTAGCTGGGGAGATAATGCCCCCTTCTAAGACTAGACAGTTTTTAGAGATAGCAAAGGCTCAGCAAGAAGCATGCCTTTGATAGACAAACGAACCAATCCTGAGCTGTAGATCTTCACCCGCCTTGCATACCCTAGGAGGCAATATGACTTGGCCTTAATCATCCCATCAGGGCCAGGTACCAGACAACTAGGGGCCACCCTGAGAGCTTAAAGCCCTCTGAAATTACTCAAACTAGTCCATCCTAAACTGTTCACCCCACCCTGTCTTTCCCATGGAAACCCCAATCAGGTCTCTGGCCTCAGTCTTCCCCTTGCTCCCTGTCTTCTGTCTCCTGACCACCCTTATGTCTTTCCCATGTGGTCCCGTGTAGTGTGCTGTGCCTCCCGTCTTTGGGACCCGTGAGCATAATAAACATTGTTTTTTCCTGAGCCTTTCCTGTGTCTCCTCCTCTTGTGATCACACTGGACTGACCATCACATAAAAGAATACAGAACAGTGGCGTGTGTTAAAAAGGAGGTAGAGAGCCTGGAGCGGTGGCTCACGCCTGTAATCCCAGCACTTTAGGAGGCCAAGGTGGGCGGATCACCTGAGGTTGGGAATTTGAGACCAGGCCAACCAATATGGAGAAACCCCATCACTACTAAAAATACAAAATTAGCCAGGCGTGGTGGCACATGCCTGTAATCCCAGCTACTTGAGAGGCTGAGGCAGGAGAATCACTTGAACCCAGAAGGCGGAGGTTGTGGTGAGCCGAGATGGCACCATTGCACTCCAGCCTGGGCAAAAAGAGTGAAAAAAAAAAAAAAAAAGGAGGTAGAGAGATGGAAAGTGGTAGATTAATCAAAATATACTTTGGCGGCCAGGCGCAGTGGCTCATGCCTGTAATCCTAGCACTTTAGGAGGCCAAGGCTGGGGGATCACATGAGGTCAGGAGTTCAAGACCAGCCTGGCCAACATGGTAAAACTCTGTCTCTACAAAAAATACAAAAATTAGTCAGGCGTGGTGGCAGGTGCCTGTAATCCCAGCTACTCAGGAGGCTGAGGCACGAGAATCGTTTGAACCCAGGAGACGGAGGTTGCAGTAAGCTGAGATCACACCATTGCACTCCAGCCTGGTGGACAAGAGCAAGACTGAGTCTATACACACACACACACACACACACACGTACCTTGGCAAGAGGATTGATAGGATTTGGCTGGTTATATAGGTGTCAGAGACAAGGGAGAGGAAAGAAGCAAGGCTTCTGACTAAGCAGCCAGGTGGACAATTGTAGCATTTTCTGAGATGGGTTGGATGGAAGAGGAAATGGTCTGAGGGATAAGAATCATGAGTTCTCACTAGGACATGTTAATTTTGAGGTGTCTACATACCCCTAAATAGAGATGATAGGCAAATGGACATTCAAGTCTGAAGTTCAACAGAGATGTGGGCTAGACATGCAATCAGAAGAGTTGTCCACATATGGAAGGTAGTTAATGTGAAGGAAATGAATGAGGCTGAAGCTGCCTTTGCAAAATTATAGCTAAACAAATTATGACAGTGAAAGGCATCAGACCTAACCAATTCCATCTTGCTTCTAACTTTTAAACTGTCATCCCATTCCTGGGCGTAGGCTCAACTAGCCTTGGGAAGGAATTTAGTTTATAGTTTAAATCATAGCCCTTCCCAAAAGCTAAACTGTTCTTGTAAAACGAATGAAAGGCCACCAGCCACCAAGTTAGAATGAGAGAGGCTGGAATTCTAAATATTACCAGACATTATTCCAGAGGTTATGAGATTTTCGGGGAGACTGATTTGAGTTATAATAAAACTTTGGTCTCTTGCACAGCCTGTTGTGTGAATTACTGTTTATCTTTTGCACTTCCCACGTCTTGATAAATCAGCTCTGTCTAGGCAGCAGGCAAGGTGAACCCCTTGGGCAGTTACAAGGTTACCTTGTGAGAGAATGTAGAGAGAGGAAAAGGAAAGAAGCTGGCCTTGGTCTGAAGCCTGAAAATGTCAACGTTTTGAAGTAGGATAGAGAAGGAGAAGCCCAGGAAGGAGGAAGAAAACCAAGACAGTGGACCTCTGGAAGCTAAGAGGAGACAGTGGCCAGCCACACACCAAATGTCATTGCTTTGTGAAGCCACATCCCACCCCCACCCAACCACCAGCTGAGATCCCCTTCTCTCCTTGGGCTCACCCTGTCTCTATTCACCTTGCTATACATGTTGTTTTTGGAAGTAGCTCTGCCTCCAGTATCAGTCTGTGAGCTTCCTGAGGGCAGGAGTTGGGTTTTATTCAACCCTGAATCCCCAGTGCCTCATGGAGAGCAGACGAGGCACTCCTTTAATGTTTGCTAAGTGAATTAAATCTAATAAGAAAGATACTTAAACTTGTCCCCTCTGGACACAGGTCATTTTCCAATTCTTTGCAAAGAGATTTCTTAGATGATTCTAGTCTCAGATCTCATATCTTACAAACGCTTTATTATTAAATCCAGTTTAAAAAAAGAAAGAATGGGATCTTCAGAAAGTGAGCTCTGTTTGGAAACAAAAAAGCCAGGGCTAAATTCAATGTCATAACCCAACCTCCAGCTTTCCATACAACTATAATGGGCAGTATTCCAGAGACCCTGAGATGACGACGGGCTTGCTGGGTAAACCTCAGTCTCAGGCCTCTTCCCTCTAGGTGCCATGTGATCCAGCACATACAGCCCCAGGCCTGTGGCAAGGTCAGAAAAAGCAGATGGCTGTAGGCAACTCATCCCCATTGCTGAAAAAAGCCATTAGAGTCTGCATCCAAAGCACCAGCATTGAGTGCTGGAATAATCTTGATTTTTGGGTGCAAAAACCTAAGGCTGTGGCCACCTCTCTGTTCTAATGTCCTCACTTCCAGAGAAGTGTGGATGGTGGTAGCCACAAACTTTGGAATGATGTAGGGTTGTGAGTCTCAACTTTGACAAATGAAGCTGGGTAACCCTGAGCAGTGGCCCACATCCACAACTCCAGAAAGCTCTGGAAATCAAACATCTTTTTGTAATTCAATTGGCATCAAGGCCCTAACTGACATGAGGCCATTTATAATCTTTATCCCACTGGGTGAGACTGTTTAAACATTTCTTTGCATAAATATTGATGCATTTTTATTATGCAGTGCTGCTACACCGGGCATGTTATATAATCTGTGATACATAATCTGTGTCCAAAACATTCTGAATTCCAACACATCTGGCCCCAGGGTTTCAGATAAGAGATTGTGGATGTCTGCTGGATCGCATTAAATTAAT